CATATTTAATGTTAGTTTCAACATTTGAAGCATGAAGAACTTTTTCAAATTAAAAACTGTGGTGAATCAGTCGTATGTGAAGAAAACTTCCACCGTGCCAGTATGTCAATTATGCAGTTCATTCCCCTTCATGTGTTCAAGGAGCAGATATGTTTGGTTTTCCCAGTGGCCGAAATTCTCACCGGGGAAACTCCTCATTGTTGGGGAGATTCACGCAGCTGCTTGGTTCTGAGAGCTGTTTCCCTGGTATCAGTCGACGTTTTCCTCGGGCGTTAATCACCATCACACAAACGTGATGTCCCAGGACAGGAGGCGGGGCAGACCTCACCTTTGGAACCATCATTTTGCTGCTCGTCTCGTTTTTCATTTTTGTTGCTTTGAGCCGCTGAGTTGCCTGTGTTTGGGGGAATATCTTTAGTTAGAGACAAGGTCCAGTCTTTTCTGTGGATGGTTCATAAATAATGGATGATAATAGAATTAGTTATGAATGAAAGGAAGAAAATGAACTCAAAACAGACTCTTTTTTTTTTTTTAACTACTAAATAGACGCCTCGGGTCTGCAGCATTGGCCTTTTTCAAAGCCCTGGAGGGTTAAAAGGCTGGTGGGAAGGAAGGGAGCTGCCGGCCCGGCTTGTTCCACCTTTGGAGCAAGTTGGCTTTTAGATGGCTAGAAGGAGACACGACAAGGCACAGTTGCCCTGGACACTCTGACTTCTGCCTGTCCTTCCACCTGCCCGTCATCTGTCTGTCCTTCTGGCCTTCTATCCTTCCATCCCTTCCTTCTTTCTGTCTTTTTGTGCCTTCCCTCTTCCTGCCCTTCCTTCCAAGCTGCAGACACTTTGAACACCACCTCTGGGCCATAGATTGAGTCAGCTTCTCATAAACTGAGGGGAAATGTCCCTGTTTTCTCTGCTGAAAGTAATCAACCTTCTAATAAGAACCAAGGAAGAGGGCTTCCCTGGTGGCGCAGTGGTTGAGAGTCCGCCTGCCGATGCAGGGGACACGGGTTTCACGCCCCGGTCCGGGAAGATCCCACATGCTGCAGAGCAGCTGGGCCCATGAGCCATGGCTGCTGAGCCTGCGCGTCCAGAGTCTGCGCTCCGCAATGGGAGAGGCCACAACGGTGAGAGGCCCGCGTACCGCAAAAAAAAAAAAAAAAAAAAGCAACCCAAAGAGAACCAAGGAAGAATGGGAATAAGAGGTATGGAGTGCCTACAAGGGTAAAGCCTTTTTAACTTGGTTTTCCCACCTATCTGCCACTGAGGTCCAGGCCTAATGGAAGAATGGCAGCCAATACAGAGAGCAATACCAAAACTTAAGTATGAGGTTTTTAGGACCAGTTGGGAGCATTTCGTCATCATGATCTTGATCTTTTTTATTCCTTTGCTTGATGGAGAGAATCATCTTGATGAGTAAAGATCCTCTTTTTTCCCCTCAGGCTATTGGCAAGAAGTTGCCTCCGACTGCAGCAACTCCAGACTCATCAAAAACAGAAATGGACAGCAGGACAAAGGGTGAGTTTCCTTGTGTATCTGTTTTATGTTTGAAAGCAGTGAAGGGTTTTATAGTCATTGAAACGCTTTTGAAAAATCCTTACATAATCTTAATGGCTTTTTTAAAGCACATGGGGAAAAAATGCACACAGATATGTTTCATTAGGCTCTACCAGTAGGACGGTAGAGGAACACAAGTTCCTCGATGGAACAAGATGCTTTTTTTTTGTTAATAAATTAATTTGTTTGTTTATTTATTTATGGCTGCGTTGCTGCACGTGGGCTTTCTTTAGTTGCAGCGAGCGGGGGCTACTCTTCATTGCAGTGCGTGGGCTTCTCGTTGCAGTGGATTCTCTTGTTGCGGAGCACGGGCTCTATGTGCACAGGCTTCAGTAGTTGTGGCTCATGGGCTCTAGAGCGCAGGCTCAGTAGTTGTGGCGCATGGGCTTCGTTGCTCCATGGCATGTGGGATTTTCGCGGTCCAGGGCTCGAACCCGTGTCTCCTGCATTGGCAGGCGGGTTCTTAACCACTGTGCCACCAAGGAAGTCCAGGATGCTTTCTTGCCATTTGTTTCTCACCCACGTTGCAGAGCCAGGGCTTATCTGTGTATACCCAGAGCAGTTTGCGTAGTTCACGAGGCAGGAAGATTCTAGACGATGGCAACTCAAGCAATTTAGGGATTCATAGGCCTTCAAATCAGAGGGGCTTTATCTTTTAGCGTAACCACTCAACAGACACTCCCAAATGTTGACTTTCCTGCTACTCTCCTCAGCACATCTCTACTTGAATTCCTATAGTTACAAATGTCTTTCTTCTGTTGAGCCGGATATGCTCTTCCTGTAATTTTTACCCATGGGTTCTAGTCTCTGGGTCTATATTGATATTAGCCCATTGTTCTCCTAACAGTCCGTTAAGTATCTGAGGACAGTTGTCTCCCCCAAAGCTTCCCACAGGTCAGTATTCCCCATTCGAGGGTAGCCAGATAATACAGAATGCCCACTTACATTTGAATTTCAGATAAACAATGAATAATTTTTTGTTTTGTTTTTAGAATGTCCCATGCAATATTGGCTGTTTATCTGAAATTCAGATGTAACTGGGCATCCTGTGTTTGTATTTGCTAAATCTGGCAACTCTCCAGTTCCTTTAGTCATTCTTCCAATAACTGGAACGTTCTGAACATGCTCTAGTCAGAAATAGGTGCTTCAGTTCCTTCTAGGGATTTTAACTTTTTTTTCCAGCTTCAGATTTCCTTATGAGGATAATGTGGACAGACTGCTAATCTAGTTTGGAAAGCCAAAGGTTGAGAGAAGATATATCATACATATGTAATTATGACTAATATAAGGGCAAGCATAGATTTATTCTTTTTGTTGCAGAAAAATATACCAGGAACTCCTTTTGCAGTGCAAAACAGGTAGTTTTGAAAACAAATAAGGGACACTGCCTTAGGCATTAAAAAATGAATTTATGGGACTTGCCAAGCCCAAAATGGTGGTTTAGATAAATACGTTCATGGATGTTATAGATGCAGCCACTAGAGCTCTGTCTTAATGTTTAAGGTTCGGGTGAGGTTTGCATGCCTTCAGTCTGTTAATGGTACAATCAGACTGTGGCTAACACGGGGGAAGCGCACTAGTCTAAGGCTCTGATCCAGCAGTTCTCAAACTCGAGTGTGTCCCAGAATCACCTGGAGAGCTGGACCTCACCTCGAGAATTTCGGAGTCAGCAGGTCTGGGGTGGGGCCTGAAATTTTGCTTTGCTAACAAATTCCCAGGTGCTTTGGTGCTCCTGGTCGAGGGCCCACCCTTCAGGAAGGGTTCTGAGCTTCTCGATGTTCCCAAAGCCAAACTGGCCCCGCAGCTATTCACGCAGGTTGTAGGTTTTGCATGCTTAAACCTACCTTTAGACAGTAAAACTTTCAAGATTCTTGAAGCGGCCTGAAATTTTTTTTTCAAGAATTCACAGTAAAACCACTTCTGGTAACATCTCCTCTTGTTGGACAGTAGCCTATCCTTCCTTCCATCGAACTACTCATTTTGTAGTTCTGGCTGTTGACAGGTTTATAAATGATCCAGGTTATTAGGCAAGTTTGCTGGGATGGGTGGAGTCGGGGGTGGGCAGGAGAAGGGAAAGACACATCAAACCTCCAAGGTAATTGGAATGGAGTCCCTGGGACAGGCTGTCCTCGTGACATGTGACAACCAGTGGCCTTCACCAACCTCACTCTTGTTTGCGGAAATAATAATCTGAGAAACAGAGAAATCGTTTTAATGGAAAAGAGTTTCAAGAGAAGTGAAAGAGAAATTCCCTATAGATTGTTCCTCTCTCTGCAGAGTAAATAGTACCTTGGGTGACCGGTGAGTTGCTTTTGGGGGAGACTAAGCAGGGGGGACCTGAGTATCACTTGTAAGGTTGTGGCACAAAACAGGACAGTCTGCAGGGCACGCTTAAGTGACTAATCAATCCTCAGGCCTCAAGAACTGACCTTAGGATAAGCGCACATCCGTGATATTTTTTTTTTTTACCCTCTGTAATGTCTGCAGGCAGGAGACTCAAGTCTTTTTTGGCAGGAATAGGTGGTGTGGATGGAAGGTGTTTTAGAGCAGAGCTGGCCAGTAGAAATGCTGTGTGAACCACACACAAGATTTTACACTTTCTGGTAGCCACATTAAAAACCAGAAAAGAAACAGGTTTTTTTTTAAAAAAGAAACAGGTGAACTTAATTTAAATATATTTTATTTAACTCAGTATATCGAAAATATTATCCCTTCAACATGTAACCCGTATAAAATTATTAAATGAGGTATTTTCATTCTCTTTTCATATGAGTCTTCACAACCCAGCATGTATTTTCCACATATGCCACATCTCAGCTTGGCCTAGCCACATTTTGAGTGCCACAATAGCCACATGTGCCTAGGGGCCACCGTATTGGACAGCATAGTTTGAAAGTAATTCTGGCATCTAAGATGGGCTTCCTGGGCCTGGATTTTAACACAGTTCATCATGCTCAGCTCCCTTGAGCATGTGGGAGGATCCTGAGTCTAGCCCAAGCCTTTTTCACTCCTACAAGTATCTATTAACTACGTCCATCTCTAGATGCATCACAGAGTGGGGATGAGTTGTTAATAAAGAGTGGTTTTACAGGGCTGGGTGGTGTGTCTTGGCTAAGAGTTAGGAAGCACAGATTCTAGGACTAGCTCTCTTATTAGCTAGCTGTGTGACCTTGGGCAAATAATTTTATTTCTCTGGCCTTGTGCTCTTCGTGGTCTGCCTTGTCTGTGAAGTCAGAGGGTTGTACTAGAGTTAAGCCCTCAGGTTTCTCCAAGCATCTTCGCTCTCTGATTCAATTCTGAAAGCTTTACAATTCATAGTGAAAGCTTTCTGCATTCAAAGAATTGAACAGCCGATGGGAGAGACAAAAGGAAGATGCGAACAACTGAGTTAGGAATATGAGAAGATGTCATTTGGCAAAGATGCCATGGATATAAATATGTGTGTAAGCGGGTGGTAGGTCGGGAAGAATTATCACCGTCAGTGAAGACTTGAGAGATGTTTATTGACAGACGTGTTTTCATGGACCCAGAGTAAGAATTGCTGCAGTTTAATCTCACCCCTCACACACTCTCTGGCTTTTATTGTAAAGAGCAAATTCTGGGGTAATGGTTCTCCCATGCTTTCCACGAGGCACCCTAGTTCACTAGAAAACCCCTTCCATTTGGAACCTTTCGCTGCTTCTGGATTTTGATGCGACACCCAAGTTCAGGTGGAAGGACAGAGAGTGCTGACCCACTTTTAGAAATGACTCGGAGCTTGGGAACAACACAACCTCCTTCCTTCTGGGTGGAAGTCACACCCGTAACGAAACTTGCCCAGCGGTACAGAGGAGAGAAGCCCCTTCCCACATAGCTGTCTCCTTAGTGCGCTCAAATACAAGCTCACGTCACGAGTAAGTTATGATGATTCAAAAAATGTTCATGTGGATTGATATCTTCTGAGGGAAAGTGAAACTCAGCTGATCAGGATTTATTTAAACAACTAACATCATTTCCCCTCCCCCAATGAAGCTTTTATGATACTGAAATTCATCGGAAATGTGGGCTGAGGAGCAGATTGCCGTAATTTTCATAACAAGAGGAAAACTGTTTAAATATTCATAAATGAAGTGCTCTGAGGTATTTCCAGCTCCCCACATCTGGAGTTCCCCTCTTTCTTACTGCAGTTGATGCAGATGATTTGTAGCCTCGGTGGGATAGAGAAATAGCCCAGAGAAATGATTATTTAGCATCTTCTTGAACAAACAGTTCAGTCTTAGAGATGCAGAGGACCGGTTGAGCAGGTGGGTTGGGGAAAAAATAGTCCTTGACAGAATTTGTACAAAGGCAGGTCAGGCTTCTGAATAAATGATGGCTGTGGGGCAAAGGCTAAACTTTCTCTGTTTAACCTCCCCTCACATTATCACCAGACACTTGTACCACCTTTCTGATCACTTTGTCCCTTGACTTGCTTCTTAGGAGTTGTCCCCTGTGATGGTGACACATAGCGCCTTGTGGCTATCATTGGTCCCTCGTGGAGGGGGCTGTGTCTTCTACCTGGCATCCCCACCATCCAGTCCGGAAAAGTGCCATGGACTCAGTGGGCACTGGCAACAGTGGTGGTTGGGCAGATGGAGAATTAGAAATGGTTTCAATTTACCAGGCTCTCTATCTAACAGAGTCTTGTAAAAGCAGTGTAGTAGCCACGGGTCTCCTTTCCCAAGTTCACAGTCACCGGGAAGAAAAGAACACATTTGTTGACCCTCGAGCTTATTTCGGATTTCTGGAGGGTCGCCAGTGGTTGCTCTGTGGGGCTTGACAGACGCTTGTTCTTTGTAGCCACTGTCCCAGCCCAGTCAGCCCAAGAGCACCAGGGACAAACTAGGCTAGTCTGACAAAGTCAAGTTTATGGGCTCATTGCAACAAGGAGACTGCCCAGGAGGACCTGTGGAGCATCACACCAAACAAAAGAAAACTGAGCA